ATCCCAAAAAAAAAAAAAAAATAATAAATAAATAAATAGAAAGAAAAATGAAAACCCAACAAGTAGAACTGAAGAGGTATTAGTGTCCTCATCTGTTTATTTTCTCCGGATCTTCACCCTTTTCTTAAACATTTTCTTATCCTTGGTGTGTTGGGCAGGTATGTTTTCTGTTGCTCATACTCTCACAATGTTGCTCCAAGAGGCAAGTTTATTGCTTTTGTTACTACAGAAGCTGAGACTGATCATCCAGAGGCAGAACTGAAGCCAGGAATTGACCTGCTTGGGGCCGTTGATGAGATATTTTTTGATGCATATGACAGATACGAGCCAGTCAATGAACCAACTCTGGACAATTGCTTTATATCCATGGTATGTTCACATTGAAAGCTTTTTCACATGCCCTTCTTCCTCTGCCCACGTGTGCTTGTGCTCTGTGTATTGAATTAATTCATTTCGTGTACCATAATTGCCACTTTCTCACTTCCAACAGAGTTATGATGCTACAACACATTTCGAGTCAACTGTCATTGATGTGCTCAACATGTATACAATGATAACTGGCAAGGTGAGGATCGTTTTTCCTAACCATTGTATAACTTTAGATTTGAACATTTTGGTTATAGAGAAGAAGATTATATAGTAACTCAATCTTGTTTTGAATTATAAAAGCTAGTGTCTTTTACAATAAAATGGTATGTAGGTTCAAGCCATGGTAGTCATCTACCCAGGATTTAATGTTCTACGAGTTATTTTGACAACTAGATACAGTAGGGTTAGTTAGTTGTCTGGTGAGAATAGTTGAGGTACACATAGGCGAGTCTGAATAGTCACAAATATTAAGGAAAGAAAAACAAATTCATAGTTCATTTATGGTTAGAATATTTTGCCTTGACCCATATCCATCTGATGCATCATTCTTTCATGTAAAGGTAGACTTTCCCTTAAACAAGGGGTTCATAGTGACGTAGTAAATTTAATGAATTGGAGTTTAAGAAGTCTTAAAATTTGCAATAGTCGGGCTTGATTTATATATTATATAGCGTAATGTGTTGGTGGCGAAAGTGGTAATGAAAGATGGTGGTTTGTTTTCAGGCTGTGGACCTGAGTGTGGATTTGAGTGCTGCTAGTGCTGCAGAAGAATAAGAATGAATGAACAAGCCTTGGACTGCATTGTAATTCCTGCCTCTCTTTTTTCATTCTCTACTATCTACCAAAAACTAAAACTTAGAGATGTGCCTGTATTTGCCTTGTGAAAAAGTGATTTGATTTGGTCCCCTTTGGTTTATTTTTGGTTTCAATGGACTGATTATAATGTGTTGATGCACTGATTGCTTCAAAATTTCCATCTTCGCATTGCATTCTTTTTAAATGATTGGAACAATCCCACACTTGATTACAGGTAAAAATGTTGTTATCATGTAAGCTTTATCTGAAGATGTGATATAGAAACCTGACTATCAGTTTTGAGTTTGTGTTAATTGAAGAATCAGAGTTGATTTACGAATCAAATTTTACACCTTCATTACACTTCCAAGTATTGAATTTACGTACCTTTTTTTTATTCTTTTCCTTTTGTACATCCATTGCAATTTATGGATTTACCACATTACAAGGATCTAATAGTTCGCAGATTGTGTTAGAATATTCATACTCCATTTTGAGGTTGATGACTTTAATTTATTCGTTCGTAGTCAATTTTATTTATTGCTTCTTAAAAGGTCAATAAGGTCCGTGATGTCGTCATTAGTTATGAAGACTTAAGTTTTAGTTAAACCCATGTTAGGTAACAATTAGACTATTTTATAACCCTCCCACTTAGGTGTTTTCATTTCTTTAAAATCCTCAGGTGTTTTCATTTCTTTAAAAACTTGAGGAGAAGTTCGAAAGGGAAAGCTCAAAGAAGAGAATATCGGCTAGCGGTGGGCTTAGGCTGTTACAAATGGTATTAGAGCCAAAGGCTGTTACAAATGGTATTAGAGCCAAATACCGAGCGGTGTGCCAGTGAGGACACTGGACCACAAAGGATTGTGAGACCCCACATCGATTAGAGAAGAATGAGTGCCGGTGAGCTTTGAAGTGAGTTTTGAAGGGAGTGGATTGTGAGATCCTATATTGGTAGGAGAGGAAGGGAGACAAATATAGGTATTAAGAGATTCCAACTACCAAAACAGTGTACAACCAAGCGTTCAAGCGTTCAAATGATTTCAAGCATTAGCAACATATAAGAAGCCTATAACTTCAAATCATCATTCCCAATTCTTCACGAGACAACTACAGAATTTGCAGTGGAAGAATCGGAGCATTGATAATTCATTTATGAATTTGAATTGAACCTCATTATTATACACACACGAATGTATAACTTCAGACGAAAGCGGACCAAGAATAAACAATTCAACAAATAAGGATCCAAATAACTCAACACCTTTGCAAAAGTAACACTACAGAAACTAAAACATTTGACATATTTTGGGCATCTCCCCCCATTTCAATCCTATTACCAACAAAGCTCAGGGGAACTTGGGAAGCAAGCCTGGAGCAATAATCAAGGAAGGATACCATCCCTTTGCCAGATTCCCAAACAGGTTCTATTTTCATCAAAGAAATTGCCAGTCGTCCTCATGTGCCTCCTCCTCTTCGTTCGGCATGTGCACCACGCCATCAGTATCGTCCTCCACTAACCTACTACAGTTATCCAATGCATTGCCGTGTCTCCCTGAATTCGTGGAATGTGTTTCAGCAACTGTAAACAATGGCGCTCCATCCGACTTGTCTGCCAACTTCGATGCCCGATAACAGAAATCGTCGAAATCATCTGGCACCAGAAAAAAATTTCAAAAGAATCAGGAAGCATCAATCAAGTTGTTATCCACAATTATGAAGCTAGAGTCCAAACCTTTGTCTCGACAATAAAATCCAATTGCTAGAGAAGGATCCATGGATTCTAAGGGGATGTGCCGGATAACACTACAGAAAACAAGGCATTAACATATGAGAAACAAAAAGAATTGGCAAGCGAAAAACAGTAAACCACGAGACATTTATGATATGGAAGAACTCACTTGCAGTGATAAGAGGAAGTATCTGCGTCTAGGTCATCCTTATCAATATTAACTACCTAAAATGGAAACATTGTTAGACAGTCATTATGATAACTTAGATTTATTTACAAATATGTCACATTAAATTATCCTGGAGAGAGACATGGAGACGTTTGTTTGGACAAGACATTATAGTATTCATTACGTTTTATCAATTTATTAGCTGAGTCCACATGCCTACAATGGAGCATTGAATCTCACCACCTCCCAAACCTCATCACACGAACTCTCCAACCCTTTAAAAATCCCATTGTTCCTCTCGAGCTAAGGGACATCTAATACTCTAACCCACCCTTTCTCTAACACGAATTGGTGAGTTTCGGCCACCAACACTTCGTCCCATGGCTGGATACTAATAGCACAATCTAGAACCATCCCACATCTAAAGTCAAAACAATTCCTTCATTAGAAGAGCCTCTTCACATAGGATTACTGGCAAAGTCCTGCAAACCCCTTAAGCACTTAAGTCTTCTCCAAATAACTTCCAGCTCCTTCTCATTCTCATCGTCTTGAACCCCCACTTCTGACACGTTAAGCCATCTTTGAGCACCTTCACGAAGGATGACTCTAATTTTGGAGGAGGCTCGACTCTTTCATCTAACATCTAAAGTCAAACCCCTTAAGCACTTAAGTCTTCACCAAATAACTTCATCACTCCCCTATCGATTTCCTCCCTAGAATCAGTCGCCTTCTCCTTCATCATCAAAACACTCATAGCGATATTAAGTGCCAGCTCCTTCTCATTCTCATCGTCTTGAACCCCCACTTCTGACATGTTAAGCCATCTTTGAAGCACCTTCACAAAGGATGACTCTAATCTTGGAGGAGGCTCGACTCTTTCAATCTTAGTTAAACCAAGCGCTTTTAGGAGAATGATATTTGGCGCATCTCAAAAAGAATCCCATGCCCCTCTACCTTGTGGCACAAAAAGAGATAATCTTCGTCCTTTGCACTATTCCATTGCAACAACAAACCAAGTTCCTCTCACATTCAAAACCACTTGTACCCAACACAATGCCTCAGGTGCTCATCATCTTCCGAAGAAAAGGTCACTCGATCTTTGGACAAGACTCTCAGGCAATAGCTTACCCACACCACTACCCCCAACTTCAACGTAATTTTTGAGAGCTTGGCCTTACTAACTCTTTGAACTCCACTCCTTTCCAAACTAGCTCACTTTCAACACAATCCTCTTTTGTTCCCCCCTCACAACAAGAGGCTTAACTTCTTTCACTCTCATGGAATCCCCCAATGAAACACCACCTATCTATTACGATCACCATAATGATATCACACGTCAGACACATACAAAAGAAAGGATAATTTAGATATTCTTAAAAAAGGATCTCCAAGGAAATTAATGTACCTGCTGAACTTCATGTGGATCAAGATAAAAGGCATTTTCATCTTGAACACCCACAATGTATGTTGAAACACTGGGCTTCCCTCCCAAGATCCCGAGGCTTTGAGGAAAGGTAAATGTCGTTTTCAATGATAGGATGTACCTTCACAAGTTGAATAAATATGTTGAGCATAAATTTCTAAGCTCCAATTTCTACTAGTCAAACTACAGAAATAACATGTAGGTCTCCAGAATAGTCAAGTGAGGCTGCTATGTTTTAGCAAACAAGCTAGTAAACATACATGTACCTCTTTATGACAATCAGTAAAAGATTACAACATGAATAGAGATTTCAAGATCTCTACTAAGACTAATGGTATTCGGAAATTGATAAGCCAATCAAGTAATGGTTTCTAGGGCCTGGGGCAATGAAGTAAATAGCCATCGGCATTTTTGTTATCATGGCTTATAAATTGAACATAAAGAGAACTTTGGTTAGTATGAGAAAGGATCCCAAGGCAATGAGCAGGTTCCTAGGGCCTGCTCATTTCCTAGTTCAAGGAAATGAGAAGGTTCCTAGTTAAAGCCACACTTCCTACAAATGTAGTATCAGAGCTACATTTCCCATTTAAAGTTTGATTTTATCCTCCAATTAGCCTCATCCATAAGCAACAAATCCTCCAACCTGACATCTTCACATTTCGTTTTTCCAACTTTCTTTTTAAGAAATCCAATTTAACAATAGACATTAAGTGCAACCTTCCCCCACCCTTCCCCACAAATCCTCACACCATGAAGCAATACTAGACTTGAAAGAGTTTGATACAGCAACAATTCTAAACCTAGAGTGCCAAAATTTGCAACTTCTTACCGAAACTTTTAATTTTCAATAAAACTGCTCAAGCATGAAGATGCAAAACCAATTATTAGGGAAAAACTATAGTCTATAAAAGTACTACTTCTCGTATGAGAATCCTATTTCGCTGTTATTAAAATGAGAGTTAAGCCCAAAGTATGAAAAAAAAAAAAAAAAAAAA